TTGGAATTCTTATTGCCCAAGCCCAACCCAAGAATGGTAAACTTTCGCCAAGTACTGAATTTCTTGAGTTGTGTTTGCGTTAGCCCGCCTAAGTTGCACCACTAGTTTTTCCCCCTATCACTAAGAGATTTATACATTCTCTCTCCAAACAAAAATTGAAAAAAATATCCGTAGTACCACTCCTACATACAATTAATCCCCAACTAAATAAAAATAACCCTAGTAGAAAAGCATGCAGCCTTCCCCGAGCTCAAACAATAAAAGGTTTTAATGAGTGCTTCTATTGAAGAGTACTACACTTCCGATCTCACAACACAACTTCAAGCATTCAAACCACCAAACTTTCGTAAGAAAAGGATGTTATGCATGGGCACACATACGACATGCTTGCTTTTTTATCATCGCTCTCCTATCACTTGCTTCCCCTCTTTCCCTTCATCATTGACCCCACTAGTTAACTTCTTCTTTCTCTTTTGTAGTTTTTTCCAATCTTTTTCTCCCACTTTTAAAACTCCATTGTATGAGACATCCCTCTCCCGGTACCATCAACAAAAGTCTATGGCATCTTCCCCTTGATAGCCAAAATTACAATCAATCCAAACTCTTCCAAATTCTTTTCGAAATTCACTAATGATGAATTAGACTGCTTACGATTTTTCAGCAACCTTATGTGTGTTTCTTTATAAGTGCAATACATGCAACAAGTTATTGTATGCTTGCTGGTGCATATCATGTTGGATGCGTCGAACATGTACAGTGGTTACCCAAACATGGAGTGTTCGACAAGGTACTTCATTCTACACACCTCTGATGGCTGGTGCTCAGAAAGATGACCAAACCGCACCTCTCGACCCCCGTGTATCTGAGAACACCACAAGCTCTTGCAGGATCCGATCGACCTTAGGCTTTCTTGGTCTCCTTCTCTCTCACACATCTAGAATGGATTAGTGAGACCCAGAATCTATGTGGACGACGTGATCGTGACCGGTAGCGACCTTTTTGAAAATTTTGGAAATGAAGTGGAGAGTGCAGGTATTCACAGATGGGTAACCAATGAGTTATAACATTAAGGAACAATTCATACACCACTGGATCCTAAGAGTTGCTAGATGATGCCAGCAGGGGTATGGATTGAGAACGAAACCTTCAAGTGGGAAGTGGCAAGTAACTCAAAAAATCAATTGTTGCACCTCACAGGGAAAAGGTGGAGAAGGAGCTGCTTCTATATAGCAATATTCAGTCCTGTTAGGTGGTTAGCGAAAACCTTTTCAAAAGCAGGGATGCGGTAAAGAGTGGAGTCTTCTATACAAAATTTACTGTGTTGGGGCAGAACTGCCTGGCAGATTTCTTAAGGGTGACAAAGTTGCAGAGTAATTCCAATAAAATAGGGTTAAGGTGCCTTTGAAGGTTTGGAAGGCTAAGGTGTTTTTGAAGGTGCAAGTATATGCTTGGGTGATTGCTCGTGGAAAAATATATACCAATGATATGATCCAAAGAAGGCGTCCATACCTTTCTCTTTGTCCGCAATGGTACATTATGTGCAAAATAGATAGTGAGAATGCTAGCCATTTATTTTTGCATTGCCCGGTTGCATTGATATTATGGAATAAGCTGATTGAGTAGGCCGGGATTTCATGGATAGCTCCAAGTTCTATATCATCAATGTTTTGTGTGACTATCACAGTTTTCGAAGAAGTAAAGGAGTTACCATTTGGTATTGTGCAACTTTTGTTGTTATTTGGGTGATTTGGTTAAAGAGGAATACAAGAGTGTTTGAAACTAAGTACGAGAGGATTGATGGTTTATGGAACCGTATCTACTTCTTGACATCTTTTTGGCATCTATTTCAAAGGATTTTGCTCCAATTCCTCTCTTCGGTATTGTGGCAAGTTGGCATGTAGCTTGTGAATGAACTATTTTGTTTTTTCCTGATTGTATCTTTCTATTGTGCTGTTGTTTGGTGGATGGTGTATTGACGCCTTGTCCGTATACCATTCTGCTCTATACTTTCCTCTTCCATTAATAAAATTGTTGTCTTTTACCCAAAAAAAAATAGGGTTGACTATTGCTAAAGGAGTTGATGGTTATTGTTGCAAGGTTCTTGCAGAAAAGACTAGGGAGGCTACTATTATTTAAGGAAGTGCAACAAGACATCAAGGTCCCTTGTGTGTTCCAAAGTTATGGCTTCCCAGTATTAGGGCTTATTGAACAAAAAAAAGAGTTTACTAAAAAGAGATTGATTTTTATAAATTAGAGGCTGCTTCAAAAAATGAAAAAAGAAAATATAGATGCTAAAAGAGACGCAAGAAAATGGATGGTATAGACGAAAAAGAAAAAGCCAGAAATCAAGGGTCCAAAAGAGATAGTCATACTTGGAGTAGGAGTACACTAGACATAGTTTAGGATTAAAATTCGATACCAATACTTGGAGTTCTAATCTAGAGCTAGGCATATCAAAATTCCAATCAAAGTCAATACACCAATGACCCAAGACATGCCACCAAAAGAAAATAGAAAACCCATGTATCATATGTGTTGGGCATAAGCTCAAGGCGGGCGCTTTGTGCACCTCAACCACGCCTCAGGAAAACATTTTTCAAAGTGATAGGGATTGACATTGAGGAATTATCATTCGATTTGTGGACAAACTAAGTGAGTGAAAAATCAATAAGTGTTTTGGTGGTCTTCTAGATGCCGATTGAAGGATGGTGCAAATGTTGTGTATCTAACTTCTTACCAAAGGCTTCAGAAGTAGAATTCCAAGGGAAGACCTTCCATTAAAATTTAAAGTTTTGTCGATGTTGGGGGGCACTGCTTGAGGCTGTTAGAGCTTTCAAAAAAAAAAAAAAGCACTTGCCCCCCTGACTTTTGAATAATCTCCACATATTAACAGATTATTACACATTGCCCCCCTAACTTTTTAAAATTGCATACTAGATAGATATTTTCAATAAGAGTGGCCAATGCCCCAAAACGCAAGAAAAAAAATATTTTATCTTTTGAACTGAGTAACACTGGGCAGAGCTTTTAATTGAGTAATAAGGAACGAATTTTTTGCAATTCTATCTTCCGGTTCATGGGACAACACTTGCATAGTTTTTTGGTAGCTTTATTACATGTTTCGAAATGTCAATTGACACACCCTAATTCCAACCTAATCCTTTGTAGCTCACAAACCCATCTCGACACACCCTCGCTATATAGGTTCAGAGTTGTATATCCCATTAGTTACCTAATGCCTACTAAAACACAGAAGTTTCTGATAATTGCTAACCCTTTTGCTTAAATTGTTACTACCGCTAGCAAACACCTTCAGTCTACACTTAAAGCACCAAGTGAGTAGCAATTTGGACAAAAACTTCATTTTCAAAACAACGTTGTACATGGGAGATAAACGTGAATATAATGCACATAATCCCAATTATATTTCACAACCCAAGTAATCATAACATCTAAAACCAATAACTTGAGATAAACAAATTATACTTGGAAATGATAAGGACTTCTAAATCAAGAGTTTGACATGCTAAATGTAACCCTACTATTTTTTCTTATGATGATCTCCTATATATCTACAACTAAAAAATGCTACAAGATATCCCCATTCTCTCCCTTGCAAGCCCCAGGTTGCTTATAATCTCTATAAAGCTTCTATTATGATAATCTCCAATTTGAATACAGTCAATACACTCAAATCATACATATATCCAAACAAAAGTTATCACGAAGAGATTGACACAAATAGCCTTCTTGCAATGGAAGCATAAAAAAAAACATAACACTAAAGAAAACATACATTGGAACTACGTACTAAACTAAAGAAAATGAAAATGAAAATAAAATGAAACAAATCAAAAGAAACTTTAAGCCATATAAAGAAAGGCTCAATCACCTATAGAGCTAAATAGGACAAACAAACAAAGCTAGCAAAAAAACCTTCATAGAGGATAAATGGCCTAAACTCTTGAGAGCACACAATTCCCAAACTCCACAAACCACCTTGAATCATTTAAATAACCAATATTCATAAGAAAAGGCAGCTATGCAAGTTCAATAAACAATATGTTCCATTCCTTTTACCACCACTCGAGTCACTTTCCTTCCCCTTTTCCCTTACTAATTCACCCTACTAGTTAACGTTTTAAATTCTATTTCCAGTTTTTCTGAAGCCTTTTATCTTTGTTCTAGACTCTTTTGCTATGTCAAAAAACCTTATGCGAATTTCATAATCAAACAACTATCTGGGATCATCCTCTGATAGCCATATGCCACCTTAAGCTTCGTACTACCCTCCATTATACCACCCATGACCAACTAAGAACCCTCAATTTTCAACCTAGATTCTCCTTCCCCTCGAGGAACAAGCAAGCACACACACACACACACACAATTACAATACTCTTAAGCACTCCCCAAAGCTAGTCAAATCATTCACACATTAAATCTAAAAATTCATTATCTCAATAAAGCCCTTAAGATGATCAAATAAAAAGGACAACACGGTACACGAAATTAACTCACTTCTTTCTCTTAATAAGAACATAAATAAAAATTACATCCCTAGCTTAGTACCGACATGACCTCTAGTGCACTCTCCATGATGAACTAGTGACACTTTGATTGTGACTCCCAATGTCCCATCCCATTTGGAACATGCATATATGGAAAAGAACAAAAGGTCGATACATCTAGCCTTTACCTTTGCAAACTCAAAATCCTCTTTTCATTTCCCCTCCAGAATAATAATTGCTAGTGGTCCTTCATTAAGCAGGTTGATTCTAGTACCTTGCATCCCTTTTCCCATCAACTCCTCTAAACCAACCTCGAGAATGAAGTTATACAGTCAACCAAAAACTCAATTTATTTTCATTTGGGGTGGGTTTTCAATATCAGAAAAGTATTTTATTATTGAAGGAAAGAAAAAGGCATGCAGTCCAAATAAACAAAATATACTTCTCAGCAATTAGTATTTCGTTTTCAGCCTACCTTTGGTTGTGCTATCAGCAACATGCTCTAGGCATCTGAGGTGCTCCATAACTTGGTTTCAGCCTACAAAAATCGACTTCTCTGTCCTCAATTCCGGAATAGACCCGAGCTTGAAAAATGTGAGTAGAATGCTCACAACCGTTGGCTGGAGCAACACCCGTGGCCTCAAAAGTAATGTAAAACATAAAACCTGAAACAATCTGCAAGTTCAATTTGTGGACCTTCACAAACTCATATTGGGTATCCTGTGTTTTAAGAATAGATTTACACAATAATAAAAAAAAAGAGTTAGTAAAAGAAAGGAATATGTATGAAATAACTTAATGGACGAACATGCAGGCCCATACATTATCAGAGTTGTATTTGTCAAGCGCTTTCAGTTCTTCTATCTAGGTCCGATACTGGTATTATGAAACCAAGCGGATACTTGTTGGGGATTTTGTCAATGTCAAAGCCCTGTCCATATATGAATGAAGTCATATAAGAATAAAAAACAATCGGAATAAAAAACAATTAACACATTAACAAAAGAGAATGCTGTGTATACCCCGCTCTCGTTGACCTGTTTGATGTACCTCTGAAACTCCTCATCGGTAAATTCATCATCCGAATCTTCATAATTGGTTGTTCGTTCTTGTGGTTGTTTGTTATCATCTTCCTCTTCCAATTTTTGTTTCTCTTTCTCTTCTTCTAGTGGTTGCTTGTTATCATCTTCTTCCTCATCCAACATCTGTTTTTTCGGCCATGCTTGTTCTTCTTCTGGAGGTGATTCAGATGCGTTATCGGCCATCTCTCCCAGCTTTTACGAACCAGAACCCTAGTACACCATTTTCCCCATCACCGATGTTGTTATAAATTGAAGGACCCCCCCCCCCCCCCCCCCCCCCCCCCCGCCGCGGCGTTATGTTTAAATTTAATGGCACCCCTTTCTATTCTGAAAATGTTTTTAATTTTAAAATCAAAGATATCCTTTAACAGTAATTTTTAATTTTGTCTCTTATGTAAATATACTAAAATGTCATCAACTTTTTTTTTTATTATATATACCACGCTTTTTGTTATTTTTGAAAGTCCAAAACGATTTGGGATTGTTGGAAGATAAAGTAAATTATCAATCATTATTCTTTAACTCTTTTTTCACGGTGATCGATCAATGCCTAAATTGGTAAAAAAAAATTTTTTTATACATATTTGTAAATATTTTTCATGCAAATTTTTTAAAAAAAATTTCATGCATTTTTTTATTTATTTTTCATGCATATATTTTTAATTTTTTTCATGCAAATTTTTAAATTTTTTTCATGCAATTTTTTTAAAATTTTTCCATCCAAAACGAATTTTAAATCATTAAGTCAATTTTTTTATAAGTTGTTCGATAAGAGGTACACTTTTTAGTTTCTTATTTTTTTATATTACCTAAGTTCCCTATGTAGTATGTTTTTTATTATTCATTATAAATTACAGGTTTTAAATTTATTTTATAGTTAAAAATAATTTTTCTATAATAAAATTACAATGAATAAAGTCAATGCAAAATTCCATCAATTTCTTACTTCTCTGCTATCATATGTGATCCACAACTTCACATGACCACTCTTCATACATCACTCTTCATATATAAATTTTAAATATTATTTAATAAAATTTAATATTAATTAAATAAATTTGGTCTTAATATGATAAATTTAAATATCAATTTGGTTTTAATTTGATAAAATTAAATATTAATTCAGTGTTGATTTGATAAAATTAATATTAATTGAATAAATTTAAATGTTGTTTTAATGAAATTGAATGTTCATTTAATATTAAATTAAATAACTGACATTAATTTGATAAGACTAAATGTTAAATTAATATAATTTATATTCTATTTAACATATTAAATTTTAATTTAACAAAATTAAATGTCAATTTGGTGTTGACTTGATGAAATTGAATGATAATTTAATGTTAAATTAAAGAAATAATATTAATTTCATGAAATAAAATATTAAATTAATATAACTAGATGCTAATTTGATAAAATTAAATATCAATTTGTGTTGGTTTGATGAGGTGGAATGTTAATTTAGTTTAAATTAAATAAAGGATATTAATTTGATAAAATTAAATATTAAATTGATGAATATAGAGGTTAGTATAATATAACTAAAGGGGAGTGCATTGAAATTTCAGAATCAGTAGGGAGTATTGTTAAAGATAGGTTTATTTACAAGGGGTGTCGTTGAAATTATGTCTATGTACAAGGGGTGTCGGTAAAATTTATCCTATAAAATATTCAGAGATATTTTTATAAATTAACAATCATTGTTAATGCCGTAATCTCAACAAACATTGATAGGGGGTCACAGTGAAATTTCAAAATCGATAAGGGGTGTCATTAAATTTAGACCTAATTACGAGGACTACGTATAAAATTTTCTCTAAATTAAATGAGATCACATTTATTTAGGTGTTTTGAGTGCTTGAATTTGGATTTATTCCATCCAGCCCACATCCAATGGCCTTTTCTCTAAATTAAATGAGATCACACTTGTTTATTTCGATTTTGCTGGTGTTTTGAGTGCTTGGATTTGGATTCATTCCATTCGGGCCACATCCAATGGTTCATATATGGGAAAATTGTAAGAAGATACGCGAAATTAGAGTTATTTGTCAAAAAATACATAGCTCTTAATGTTATAGGTAATTAAGTCATTATTTTTAGAACTTAATCTTGTCCAAGTACATAATTTGATTTTTTGTAATTTTCTTTTGACATATTGCTCCTCCTTTAAATCATGCACATTTCTTTTGACACTTAATTAAATTTTTGATCTTATTTTATTGTATTAAATATTTCCTAATATAATGAAAAATTTATATTATCACAAGATTTACATATAACGTTGATAGAATATATCTCTGCCATTTTGAATTTTAAATTCTTTTTTCATTATCATTGATAGTAAACAACACCTCTCTTCTTCTTCTCCAAATTATCAGTTATTAACGTTCGAAAAAGTTCAAACCTATCATTCTTATTATCCTCCAACAAATACAGAAAAACTCAAAGATATCGTATATCTTCTCCTGCAATGTTTATTTATTATCAAGGTAAACTTATGTTTTCTTTTGTTTTTTTAAATTAAGTTCTTTTCATATGTTGCTAGTTAGTCTCAAATTTTTTTATCTTCACAGTTTTTGTATTTGTTTCTACTTATTATATTGAGTAGTCACTTTTTTTGTTAACTTTTCATCTTTCAAATGATTATTTATTAATTATAATATTTTTGTGTTTAATGAATTTTTTTTTTTTACATTTTTGTTTTTGAATACTAACACTACAATAATGGTTGTTGTTTGAATTTTAAATTATATTTTCTTCCTCATCCAATTTCTGTTTTTTCGGTTATGGTTGTTCTTCTTCTAGAGGAGATTCAGATGCGTTATCGGCCCTCTCTCTCAGCTTTTACGAACGAAAATCTTAGCACACCCTTTTCCCCAATCTCGATTTTGTTATAAATTAAAGGAAAAATTTCATCCACACCCCATCTAGTTAAGTCTAAATTAAATGACACTCCCTTCCAATTCTGAAATTTCACTACACCCCCGTCTGTTTTATACTTTCAAATCAAAGATACCCCTTAAAGGTAATTTTTAACTCTGTTAATAAAAAAAAAGTTAAGGTTTGACTATAAATTTTTTGAAAATGTCAAAACTATCATTCCTTATGTAAATATACTATAATGCTATTAACCCTTTTTTCACTATATAAATCACACTTTTTGTTGTTTGTGAAGGTCCAAAACGATCTAGGGTTGTTGGAAAATATGGGATTGAAGTCAACCATTATTTTTCAACTCGTTCTCTACAATGATCGATCACTGCCTAAGTTTGTAAAAAAAATTATTTTTTTTCTTGCAAATTTGTAAATGTTTTTCATGCAGATTTTTTTTTAAAATTTAAGGCAATTTTTATTTATTTATTTTTCATGCAGATATTTTAATTTTTTCGTGCAAATTTTTTTAAATTTTTTCATCCAAAACACCCGTTAGAATTTTAAGTCATTAAGTCAATTTTCTTATAAGTTGTTGGATAAGAGGTACACTTTTTGGTTTTTTATTTTATTATATTACCTAAGTTCTCTCTGTAGTATGTTTTTTATTATTTGTTATAAATTACAGGGTTTTAAATTTATTTTATAGTTAAAAATAATTTTTCTATAATAAAATTACAATCGATAAAGTCAATGCAAAATTCCATCAATTTCTTACTTCTCTAATATCATCTGTCGTCCACAACTTCACATGATCACTCTTCATACATCATTCTTCATATATAAATTTTAAATATTATTTAATAAAATTTAAAGTTAATTAAATAAATTTGGTCTTAATATGATAAATTTAAATATTAATTTGATTTTAATTTGATAAAATTAAATATTAATTCAGTTTTGATATGATAAAATTTAATGTTAATTGAATAAATTTAAATGTTGCTTTAATGAAATTGAATATTCATTTGATGTTAAATTAAATAACTGACATTAATTTGATAAGGCTAAATGTTAAATTAATATAATTTGTATTCTATTTAATTTATTTAATTTTAATTTAATAAAATTAAATGTCAATTTGATATTGACTTGATGAAATTGAATAATAATTTAATGTTAAATTAAAGAAATAATATTAATTTCGTGAAATAAAATATTAAATTAACATAACTAAATGCTAATTTGATAAAATTAAATATCAATTTGTGTTGATTTGATGAGATGAATGTTAATTTAGTTTAAATTAAATAAAGTACATTAATTTGATAAAATTAAATATTAAATTGATGAATCTAAAGGTCAGTATAATGAAACTAAAAAGGAGTGCATTAAAATCTCAGAATTAGTAGGGAGTATTGTTAAAGATATGTCTATTTACAGGAAGTGTCGTTGAAGTTATGTCTATTTACAAGGGGTTTGGATAAAATTTACCCTATAAAATATTCGGGTGTATTTTTATAAATTAACAATCGTCATTAACGCCGTAATCCGACAAACATTGACAGGGGGTGACAGTGAAGTTTCAAAATCGGTAAGGGGTGTTATTAAATTTAGATCTAATTATAGGGAGTGTGGATAAAATTTTCTCCAAATTAAATGAGATCACACTTATTTATTTTGGTTTTGTTGCTGTTTTGAGTGCTTGGATTTGGATTTATTCCATCCGACCCACATCCAATGGCATTTTCTCTAAATTAAATGAGATCACACTTGTTTATTTCGATTTCGCTAGTGTTTTGAGTGCTTGGATTTGGATTCATTCCATCTGGCCCACATCCAATGGTTCATATATGGGAAAATTGTAAGAAGGTACGCGAAATTAGAATTATTTGTCAAAAAATATATAACTCCTAATGTTATAGGTAATTAAGTCATTATTTTTAGAACTTAATCTTGTCCAAGTACATAATTTGATTTTTTGTAATTTTCTTTTGACATATTGCTTCTCCTTTAAACCATGCATATTTCTTTTGATAGTTAATTAAATTTTTGATCTTATTTTATTGTATTAAATATTTCTTAATATAATAAAAAATTTATATTATCACAAGATTTTCATATAACGTTGATGGAGTATATCTCTGCCATTTTGAATTTTAAATTCTTTTTTCATTATCATTGATAGTAAACATTGATGATGCACAAAATTGTCTTATACAAGATCAATAGTCAAGAAGGTGAATAGGTGCAATCAATGAGCAACAAGCAATCAATGACAAAAATAGTAAATAAGAACTCAGAGATTT